AGCCCCCGCGCCGCCGCCTGCGCAGCCACGGCCCGATCGAATGAAGAAGCAGATTGCTAGTCTCTGCGTATGCGAACTCTTTGTAACAACGAAGCAAGGGTATATAATAAATTCATTTATTATATACCCTTGAACGAAGATAACGCGAAACACGTCAATATATATACGCTCGAGTTCCTTCTTGGGCGGCGTCGGCTTTCAACACGAAGTCTGATTCCCAAAAGCTCGTTTCAGAATGCGATGAGGAAACCGAGTAGTTCCTAAACGGGGATCGCGGTTCAGGCAACGGCTCAAGTTGGCGCACTTTCTTGGCCGTGGTCCAAAAACACAGCTTTCGCGCGTCACTACTCCAATGCAACGTCGGGCGGACTTTCCTATTCCTTGCAAACCGTGCGGCGCGTCCTCGGTGTCGCTGACCAACGAGTCGTCGCTGGTACCAAGCGGGTGGCGTTAACACGATGGTCATCTCGAGGCTCTTCGGTCGACGAGTTTAAAATATAGACACAGTGGTCAGAAGCGGTGCAAATGTATACAATGTGTCATGTACATCTACCCGGACGTGTAGTGGTCGCATGATTCCATGAAGACGACGAAATGTGAATCCGCGTGCAGAGTCGGCACCTCTTGAACGTTTCCAATCGAGCCAATTACACGTCACGAGTGCGTGCGGTCGCCAGAGTGTTCCAGAAACAAAAAACACGTTTCGCGCTTCTTAGTTATCAGTTACAACGACCGTGTCAATCGTCCAAATGCAGTTATAAAATTGATGCACAGTAGTGATCCCGTGACACTACATTTCAAACTCCTCGTGGTGCAGGGCAAAGCGCGATGCGTGCGTCTCGGCTTCGATGGCGCGCAAGAGCGTCTTGGGGCCCGAGACAAAGACGCCGATCGACGCAGTCGCTGCCGTTGTGTCCGCAAGACTGGCAAAAAAGCGCGACCAGTCCATGTGCCCCTGCTGCACGTTGTAGCGCTCGACGAACGCGTCGGTGGACATCATCGGCTCCTTGGGGACCTCGTCGACCTGCGAGCGCGCGACCGGCACCGGCGTGTACGGCTTGACCAAGACGACGACGTAGGCCCAGTAGGCGCCAATGACGATCGCGAGAAACTCCATCAAGCGCTGCAGCGGCCAGTACGACGGGTCGGCGGTCGTGATCTTGGTGTTGTAGTGCACCGCAACAAAGAGCGAGCCGGCGCCAAAGAACGCAGCGATGAACAAGAGCACCTGGCGCAGCGTCGACACGTTCGCGTACGGCCGCGGCGCCACGTTCGAGCTCTTGAGGTCAAACGCGAGGTGGCTGCTGGCTGTGGCCTCGGACTCGGACGACGTCTTGGTCACAAACAGATGCAAATGCAAGTGCGACGAGAGACTCGTGGCTTCGTGGAACCACTGCTGGAACTGCGCCATCATGCGCACATCGCGCACGTGCCAGACCA